CCCGCCCTGGCCCCGCCGGCCGCTCGCGTGTCGCCATGTCGCGATAAGAGCGAGATAAGCGCGGCTTCCGCGACGAGCCCCGGCCCCTCCGGCCACTGCCACCCTCGGAAGGGGCTCCCTGCGGAGGTTTGGAGTGGAAATGTTCCGAGAATTCCTGCAATTCTGCATTTCGAGGGGAGGATCGGTCCCATCTTGGACACGATGATCCTGAAGGGATTTTCCAGCCTCAAAAATCCTGGAATTCCCTGTAAGATTCCTTTAACACTTCCGCAATTATCCCAAATAACCCTGGAATTCCCTGTAAGATTCCTTTAACACTTCCGCAATTATTCCAAATAATCCTGGAATTCCCTGTAAGATTCCTTTAACACTTCCGCAATTATTCCAAATAATCCTGGAATTCCCTGAAAAGTCTCTTTAACACTCGGAGCAATTTCCAAGCGTCAACCCCAGATCCCAACCCCCCCAAAAAGGAGCAAATCCTACAAAACCCACAGCAGATAAACCTCGGGGAGATCTCGAAACTCCCCTGCTGAGCCTGGCCGGGAGGAGATGAAGCTGCGGCCGATAAAGTGCAGATGCTGATAAGAGCTGCGATTATTTCCTGCCCCTCCCCGCGCCCAGATGAGCTCGGCTGGTTCTCCCTGTGCTCACCTGCGGCTTTTCCATGAGCAGAGGTGCGGGCAGCGTCCCCCCAGCCCGGTTCGGGAAGTTTCCCGGTCTCTCCTCCTCATCCCCACTTCCCATAATCCAGGGAAAATCAGATTTCTGCCCTTCCTGACACTGCAGATCGCCTTTATCTCGCCCGATATGAAAGGGATTCTGATCTGGGATCTGTCCCGCCCATAATTAAAAGCCTCGGGAGCTGGACATTCCTGCCCCGTGGAGGGACCTTTCCAGTCCCTCATTCCAAGCGGATCCAGAGGAGCAAGCTGGAATTATCCCCGGCTTTGGCGGCTCACCAGGGCTGCTGGCCCAAAAAGCTTCAAAGCGTTGGGAATTTTGGGATCCGGGCCAGGGCAGCGGCTCCTCCTCGCCGGCTTTTCCAGTTCCTTTGGGGTTGCGGGTGTTCCCTGGGACAATCCGCATCCCGAGGGAATCCGGGCGTTGGGATCCCCGCGGGAGGGAGGAGGACAAATCCCGTCAGGATCATCGAGTCCATGATGCAGAATTCCAGGAATTCTCTGAACATTTCCGCTCCAAACCCCCCCAGGGAGCCCCTTCCCAAAGATTTTCCCTTTTCCAGGAGGCGTTTCCCCCAATTTCTCCCCCTGAGCCTCCCCTGGCACAGCTCGCTCGAGGCCGCTCCCTCTTCTCCCGTCCCAAATCCCATTTCTTTCTCTTTCTCGGAGCCCAAATCCCATTTCTTTCTCTTTCTCGGAGCCCAAATCCCATTTCTTTCTTTCTTTCTTTCTTTCCATGAGGATGCCCAGGAAAACGCCTGGGAAGAGACCCGGGAAAAAAACCCAAAAAAGAGCTGGGAAGGGGGATTTGGGAATGGGAAAGGATGGAATTCCAGCTGAAGGTTTTGTCCGTGTCCCACGCCCGGGGCTGCCGGGAGAGCCGCGAGTCCCCCCGAGCCCTGGAGCGCTTCGGGGATGGAATTGCGGGCGCACGGGAGCAGCGGCCGGTGGGGTCGGGGTCGCTCCGTGCATTTCGGGGGGGTTTGGCGAGGTGTCCCCGGCCGAGGCTGGGAAGGGAGGAGGGCGAGCGGACCGAAGGCGCAGGAGATGGGCATTGGGAAGGGGATTTAGGCCGGAGGAGGCTCCGGGAGCGGCCAGCGGGGCGCGGGCAGTGGCCGGAGGGGCCGGGGCTCGTCGCGGAAGCCGCGCTTATCTCGCTCTTATCGCGACATGGCGACACGCGAGCGGCCGGCGGGGCCAGGGCGGGACGCGGCGACGTCAGCACGGGAAGCCACCGGGAACACCGCGGCTTGTTAATGAGGGGCGGGCTAATGAGCTGGCTAATGAGGGTCGGGCTAATGAGCCGCCTAATGAGCGGGTGCTCGAGGAGAGATGGGGGGGAGCCAACCGGGAGTCCCCGGTGACCTTTCCAGGTCCGATTCCCGGTGCTGAAGTCCCCAAATCCCGCTGTTCCCGGCTGTTTGCAGCTGTTCCCAGATGTTGCCAGCTGTTGCCGGCTGTTTCCAGCTGTTTCCAGCTGTTTCCAGCTGTTCCCGACTGTTCCCGGCTGTTCCCAGCTGTTTCCAGCTGTTTCCAGCTGTTCCCGACTGTTCCCGGCTGTTCCCAGCTGTTTCCAGCTGTTCCCGGCTGTTCCCAGCTGTTCCCAGTTGTTTCCAGCTGTTCCCGACTGTTCCCGGC